AATTCCCTCACGAGGCTAGTCACTAGTGAGTACATGTTGATTACTAGTATAGGGGTTGTGGAGATTATGTAAGTAAGCATTTTGAATTATGTGATAGTATTTCTGTAGAATCCCAGAGTAAATTCAACGGCTGTATAAATGTTTCCACTTTGTGGGCATTAGGTCTTATGATATTTATTCCTATGGTTTCTAGAGTATATAAGAGTTGGATTCGAAAACCTTTGATAAGGACCTGATATACACGATATTGATCACCACCCAGAGACCAATCAACTGTGGATCGGAGTTCATCTTATGTTGACTGCAAATATACGAAATACTTTTGGTCATTTAACCTAATTTAAACTAAAACACAGTTTTAGAACCAACTGTATTGTGGATAACCAGAAGCCAATATTTACGACTTTTGTTCAGACACTTGAACTTAGCCCCTATCCCTTCAAAGTAATTAGATGTTTAGTTACACCATATTGCAAATTGCTATAACTGTGTGACGGCAGATTAGAGGAGAGCGAATTATCGATCGAACCAAAGACGCGCAAACACGTAGAACGGCCTAGGGTTCTAATTGGTCCCGCTACCCTGTCTAGCCTAGCCAATTGAGTCTAGAACGCAAGTCACAGCCTCTGAGATATGAATCATTATATATTTTAAACACACTCTGTTTATATACTAATCAAGCAGACCACATCGTACGATAAAATATAAAATAACATTGTACAATAGCGACCAGTAGGGAAATGACACGTGAAACAAGTACTGACCAATAGAAAATAATATCATCTCCAAGTCCAAGAATAGCATTAGACTTAATAGAATAATTTTTGGGATATTTTCCTGAATATCCCAACATAAATCGACCATGAAGATCATCCAATGTAGCTGTTTCCAACTCATGTTCATAGAGAAAAGTAAGTTATCCAGTATAGATTTAATTATACTCTTAGACTTCTTATGTGTTATATGTATATGCAATGTAGGATGCTACTTATTAAACTTAAGCGAACACACGTGGATATTTCGGGTCTCTCCTACTGTTGTTTGTCTTTAAAACCTTCGTGAGCTAACAAAAATCCCATATTTGCATTCGCCGAATCATATGAGTAAGTGCCTGGTGTTTGAATGGTCAGGTATACATATTTTCATGTGATTGATGACAACAATTCATCTTACATCGTTTTTCGTGTTGTTCTATAGCTCAGCTCTAAATTCCAAACAGCTTATAATTATTGTGAGAAATTATGGCAAACATATAACCGGGATTGTGAGCTTGCTGATTTACGAAAATTGCTGCATCAGAAGTATCTCCAAAAACTTCATGAACAAGGGTTAGTATTATACTATGAATATTTCCAAAGTTATCTATTAAATAATCAAACAACTGTTTTTATTACATTCAAGAATCCTCTTAGCAAACACTCCTATTGAAACGAGAGAGATATTGGAAATGTTCGAATCCTTGAAACTCTTTCCAACTGTTATATTTGATCGTCGTTGATTATTGTGCCGGAAAACCGCTGATCACTTATACTCAGTACGAGGGACCTCTTCAATTCCCACGATACGAAAGTAAGGACACAAAGAGTGGTATAAGTGAAGATTTATTGGCCTCAAAACACTATGATGACGACAATGATGGTGATAATAATAATGAATAACAATAGTCTAAAATACACTGGTTTACATATTGATTGTACACCCATTTTGATTCATAATTAGGATTAAATCACATACTCAGTTATAACAAATCACAGACTGAGTATATTTCATGTCAATGGAATACAAGAATATCGTATATTATACAGAAGAAAATATCATACTGGGAAAACAAACCAAATACTCCATTGAATGATCTTCACGTTGAATCAAAACGGATGTTGAATAAAACTCATAATGAGTAATTCCATCATATCACGAACTAATACTGTTTATATCCTTGTATTATTTCTAAGTAACTGGACTATCGTCATTCTATATTCTGATCGTTGTAAGCTTATATTTTACCCACTAACTATCGCTGCGCATCTCATCAGTCGTAATCAATCATTTATGTTCACCTGGTTCACAATCATCTATTGCCTGTTCGAGTATAACTATGAATCTCCGTTTTATAGAGTGGTCTGGAAAAGATTATACTAGGAGCTTGATGGAAGAGTTCCTTTTCAAACTCATGGTTGAGGATGGATGGAGGCGTGTGGACAAACGTACAAATGGAGGTGCAGCTTATGTAGGCTAAAAGGTTTCTATGTTGGTCATAACACATCACTGATCAAGATGAGCAAAATCAGGCTAAAAATAGAATGGCAGACGTGAATTACAAAGACTATAATGAGTGATTTTGGCGATTGAAGCTTTATCGCAGTGAAGTTCTTCATTAACGGTAATGTCAGCGTGTTTGCCAACACAAAATCCACCACGTCGTTTCAAGTAGATATAGAATATGTCCAACCACATAAAATAAGCTTTTAACACGAATACAAAAATTAACTCGAAGGCTTCACTAGTGGGATCTTTATGCTAGTGCACCAACTTGATTCAATTGCCAATCTAGGAAATAGTTAGTTAACGTCCAATGTGCGCTTGATTTTTACCTATTTCCTCAAATTGCGTAGACTAACCTACAATTGAATATGACCACTTCTTCATAGTGTTCTGATTAGACTGAAACTTTTGTATGACTCTTTTGAACCATGCATGCACTTATTATTTAGCCGATAAGTACTTTATAATGAAGGTATAGACACCGCAGCACTTAGTTGTTTCTAATTGATTTCTATGCTCTTAAAGAAAGCAAAATGGGTGGTTATAGCCAAGTCATTCAACACCCAAGCTTTGCATCGCAAATCTCCAACAAACTCTGAAGTCTTACATAGATATGAATCCCACATATATCTAGGATTTCTATCTACATACTTATGTTATGCAGTCACAGGCATTTTTATTGACAATCCCACTAGATTACGAGGTTTTTACGCCTCTTTTCAAGCTCACGCGGTTTGATAAATATAAAACTATAAGGACCTGGTCTCAACATAAGTCACACCATTCTTCTCAATCCACTCTAGAAACATTTATACATTAATAGTCTTGAATGATATATTCTGGCTTTAGGACAGAGTTCAAGACCTTGTGCAGCATATGACTACTCGGTCATTTTTACATCCATATTACCTTCAGTTTTTGTAGGGAATCGTGGCGTTTAGCAAGTATATGTTTTATATTCATGAGCTTATTAATCTACGCTTATGCTTGTGTGTGTCACTCATTGTTTTATCCAGCGCCTTTCTCATTGTCACACTGAGAAGTATCTATATTTAGCTATCTAAGCAAGAACACAGAGTAGAAAAATGTAGTTGACACGCGTGCCTACATAATTGGCGAAATCATTTTTTAAATCCTCATTTACAAGCTTCATTGTTCCGTCATTCATATTGTTAGCTTGATTGCTGCCAGTTTCCTTCTCTCTTCTCTTTATTACAATTTACTCAAACTTTATTTCGCAGATATTCCACTCTTCCCATCATCTTATTCAATTCACATAATAATTTAGTGTTTATTTGTCAATGTTACACTCACTGTTTATTTACAATAACACCAAGTGAATCTCAAACAACAACATTGTCTCGCAACTACTTTCACATCGCGATTAGGTTTCATCACCGATATTTTTACTTTCGTGTGTTTGGATCCCATTTTCAACATTCTTGTCAGTGAGTGGAACTGTACATTTTCACAGTTGTCTAAATAAGTGATTATACACAAAACAGAACACGGTTATAGTGTATTGATATTAAGACGTCAATGAACTGGTATGATAAATCATCAGTCGGGGAGACGTAAACAAGAGGTTTGACAAAGAATCTCAGTAGGTATTTCCACCCAGATCATCTGATTACTAATTCAACACTCACTAACATACAAACAGATTGGGTTAAGAACACTAGATTTTAATGTAATCTGACTTCAATCTGGTTAATAATATGGTTTTTCTACCCAGAATTGACAAAGCTTTACGTCGATTGAATCGTACGTTGGACTATACAGAAGTTTCTTTTTGTGCATTTTGAAAGACAAGAATTGTTTAACGAAACAATACAAGTAAAACCTACTATAGTCATTGTTTTCTACTAACAAACATATCATTGGATTACTGTGGTAAACAGCAGTCGAGGATTGTTATACCCTAATGAAGAATAAATGAGTGTTAACTACTAGCAATTATCTATGGACTGTTGTTGTATCGAGATCCATATTGTTTAATTTTTATGTTACTAGATTACATATACTCATATTCTCTCATTATATGCATTTATTTGGCCGATATGCTACTATTACATGATTTACCATTGTTAAGTTATTCCTAGTCCATTATATACAGTCAATACACTCACAGCCACTATTGGCTTAATCTTGTAGAACTGTCATTGTCTACTTTATGATATGATGCGGACTGATTTTTTTGTATACGAACTACGTATATCTAAAATACATGATTCACAAAATGGAAGCTGAGATTGTGTTCTGAACACAACGGGCAGAACAAAAAGATAAGTCCCAATAAATATTCTGAGGTGATTCATCAAACACTCAGCCACACTAAGCACTGGAGATTATATGATCAGAAACTTCGTTTGACTTAATTATACAGCGATAGTAAACTGTAGTATCTATTTTTGTTACCTTGTCGTATAATTTGTTCGATACAGATAAGTACCCACATATATTCTTAATTAAAACCTTGAATCACTATTCAGAATATAACAAATGACCAAGTTAAACTTATCCAACATGTTACTTTATAACCCAGATCTATCACTAACTTATAGAGCCTGAAATTAAAGTGAAATCAGGAAACAAGTAATCGGTTTTCATGAGGGTATACACTAAAATCTAAGTTTATTTTGATTATTGTATGTATATTGCCATAACTGGTTGTCTAAACTTTAATACATTCGTTTAGGACTTTATAGCAACCAACAGTCTCAAAAAAGACGAGGAGAGCAATGAATCATTTTTTTCTCAACTTTTAAGTGAATAGGGAAAATTTCTACAATACTACAATCACCAATTCGATCACCAACCCGCTAAAAACAATAGTTTATTATTTACTGGTAAATAAATATCACATGAAAATAGTTGTTGTAGAAGTACTCAACGTGATTACTCATCTGAAATTACTTTTTCTTTAACCTCTACAGAAACCTGAGGTGAATTCATTGTTTATAATTAAAAATCATCCCCATATTTGTTAGTGAAGGCTGCCAAATAGCACTCCGAGTATTGTAAACAAATCTGGGAAATGTGAGTTCGGATAATTTGCTCCCAGTATAGCTTTTTGCTTCGAGAAACATCCCAACTATATTTCTTGGAGGCACGTGCAATTTGCGCGACGACTCGTTTTCATCTTGATTCAAAACTTCCCTAACTTTACATGCTATATTCTGGACAGACTGTGTGGAATTATCAATTTACCTTAATATCCGCAAACTCAGTCACGCCTAAATGAGGAAGTGTAGAAGAGTGGATATTAATCAGACTGCGACCATCAATCTGATTTTCAGTAAAACATTCCTATTATAGATGCATTAAGGCAACACATATTTAACCTTGTACTGAGAATATCCAATGTCCTCAATCCAAGAAGCAACTTGATTAACATCCCAAAGTAAGGCTTTTGGGATTTGGGTGCTATTACAGATTTCGGCGAAACTCATCACTATCAATGCAGAATATCGAATTTCCGCCACTCATATCTACGGCTACATCCCAACATCCAATAACATTGCTACGATTTTGAACTTTAGTACCTAGTACTACTACATAATTAAATAATTCATCCTAGCTTACTTGGTTCTCTGTGGTGTGGTCCGGTGAAATCCATGTAGCTTTGTGTATACGTTTGTGTAGAAATATTGTTCCGCCTATGACAAATTTGTTGAATCCACACATATTTGCAAATCTTTCCTTATTTTCGGTTCTCTCTCCCAGTCCATGTCGTCCAATGATATCTTCATATCCGGTGTTGTCTATTTCGACTTTAGCCTTTAGATCTCTCATCAGAATGGTGAGGTCCATTCTTCATCACTTCTCTATGATTGATTGCAGCCGCTCAGAGAATTATTCTTTAATGTCGTCGTTGCTATCATTGGTGGGCGCATAACAATGGGCAATATTCATTCTGGTCCCCTCTTCTGTGTTTTGAATGATGCTCTGATGATTCTGGATCCGTGAGATCCCCATCCTACAAGTGCACTTCATGCTACTTTGGACAGCATTAGAGCAACTCCCTGAGTGTGTGGAGCATTTTCCTCATCCTGACCAGAGTAAGCAGCATCTCTCCCGTATTTAGCCTTTGTTGTACAGCGTGGGTCCAATGGTTTTCGTGAATTCCCAGTATGCCAAGTTGTATCTCCTCATTTCCGTTGCTATGTGACTGATCTTCCCGGTCTCCGATATCGTCTAGACCTTCCATGTACCTAGAAAAATTGTTGTTCTGGTTGTGGGAAGGGGCATCGGCCTCTTTGATTCCGAAGGAACTCAGCCTTCACTATGAGGCGTCATAGTACTTTTAAATGAAGTCCTAACTCCCGGTGCAGAGTTTGAATGATTCGAATTATATTTTCAGGTTGACGTTTTTTAGTGAGTTAGTTTTCGGCGGGATGGGGTCTCAAACCTCATGCCCCCTCTTACCTCCAGAAGAGATACAGGCAGTGTTACATCCATAGATATTAGCTAAGTCTAATTTTTGATGACTTCATAAACCGATAACATGTTTTGGGTTTGCTTCCTCTAGCTTCCTTCCAACCGACCTCTACAACAAATAACTTTGCCCCGTTGAGATAAGCAGTGGTTGGGCATACGTAGTACATGTTCCAACCACCTCAGTTGATGAAGATTTATTAACTCATCAATCAATTTGCCATCCTTATATAGTACCCAATTCGTGACTCAGATATTGCTTACTATGTGGTTCTACAAGGCTTGAAGTCACCTATGGTAGAGTTAAGTACCAGTAAATTATGAATATCATCTGTTCTTATTTACCATGTTCTGCACCCATTAAGTAAACGGAACGAACCACTGTGCAGTAAACTCGTCTATTGGTCGCTAGACGGATACCTTATCTATACCCCGAGTGACGCTAGTTGACTCGAGATCAAGGGAGCTGAACGCCACCTCCAGACCAAAGAATACAAATATAGTCTGAAGTCATGGAGTATATCTTCTCTAGGAGCCTCACTGAGAGCCGTATTTGTATCCGTTTTCTTTATAAGGTTGAATAGTTGTATACTGTTATCTATCTCTGCTGCCTTTTCCATTTCTTCTGCTTTCGCTTTACATAACTACTCTTTATCACTACGTAGGCTTTCAACCAAACTACATTGAAGCTATCTCTGCTCTTCATCGTGTCCCGAGCCAGACAGTGTGAGTTTCCGATGATTTATCAGTTTTGGAAACTCCGCTTAAATCTACTGATATTTCTAAGCCTTTTGGTTTAAGTTAATAGTAGATGTCATTGCTGTCTTCACAGATTTTCGGATACCACACTAAGCTAAATCGATGTAGATTTCATTTTTACGGTTGATCAGCTTCTTCTGTTCATAAAATATATTACTAACGTTCTCATTGTTCATTTGTGCTAGAATGGGTTTCCTTGCCATGGATTAACTACACCAGTAGGATGCAGGAAATACGTGCTCGCACCAGATCATGATTTGAGTCCAAACGTGTACTCTAAAAGAGCAATAGACTTCAATCGAGCCTCTTCAGCTATGGCTAATGATTATTCGATCTATTTGAGTCCATCGATGGGTGCATTTTGGGAGTCGCCACTTTAGACTATCTTTCTCCATATGTTTAAATAGGGTGTTAGCTGGAAGTAGATATTAAATCAGCATAACTGAAGAAGACGGTCGGCATTATCAGATCGTCGAGCCACGACTCCGTATATCTGGCCTAAATACCCTTCAGTTTGTTTTAGCTACCTTGCTACCTTCGTGTTTCTGGGTATGGTGAGTTCAGGTATAACATTTGGAGTTCATAGACATTTTCAGGTGCTGCTTAGGTGTCGAAGGGCTCAGTACTTTTGTTCTTGAATCTCAGTGACTGGCTTCCCTTCTGTGTCCTTGGTTAGTCGCTCGGGTTTAAAATATTTCTCCACCGACCCATTCGTTGTATCACAATTAATTTATAATTTCTTCTCTTAAAACGTTTTTCCCTGTCATTACCAGATATACGTATATCTGCTTGTCACTTTAACTTTCATCTTCACTCTCTTGTTTATTTCTGTGTATTTGACCCGTGTTTTGACTTTCTCTGCTCTCGCTCGGCTGTTGTTAATTGCCCTCTTTCTGCTCTTCCTTTTTTGAATCCTTCCCATGGTTTCTGAGGAAGCCTATTCATTGTGATGATGCGTTATGCGGTCCAGAACCTCCTAACACGTTGAGGTCATTGCTTCTTTTCTCCCCTTTCATGGTTGATTCCTCTTCTTTGAGTAGATTTTGTAAGGCTCAGAACATGTTACTTAAAGCCATTTTGAGTTTGTCATCGAAGGTAAGCTGTATCGAACTTTCGTAATGCTACTTGTCCCGTTGTTCAGTACTAATTTGGCTTTAGTTTCACCTCGACAACCACCAGGGTATTTAATCGTTATTAACACACTAGACAAGACTGATTACCTATTCATATTTTGACAGATATCCACACTCACTACGATCATAATTATTCATGAGTGTTTTCATGTTAACTTGACATCATCTGATAAGTCATTTTGTTCTTAAACGTAATGGGATTCCACTGAGGAAGTTTCACTGCGATCGCTAGTTTAAGTAATCTGACATTGCAGTGTGTAGTGATTTGTTGAGTGCATTTTGTGTAGGTGTTACGAAAATATTGACCTATGTTTAGTGATAGTTTGTTACTTCAGAACTCAAGCTAAAACTTTAGGAGAACTGGATTTCACTAAGAAAATCGAATTCACATCAACCTTTGTCACTTTTGAAGATGCTACCGCTGAACTATTCGCTCTAGATCTGAACTCCTGCATGGGCTGAATATTTTAGTTAACGGGCCACTGTCTTATGACGCGAAAATTTTTCGGATTTATTTGCATCAACGTTTTTACTAATCGCTGAAAATTTAAAATTTGTGTCCAAACTAGTAAAAGTATAATGGGGTTCGAACATGCGACTTTGTAGTTTAGCCTTCACATTATGTCTGGTAATATCAATTACTTTTTCGGATACGTATCACTGATGATTGTTAGTAGAAAATGAAGCCTGAATTCACACACAGAAGTAACTGCTAAAATGCCTCACGTTTTATTCACGATGACTTGGGAGGAAGAACAAGTGTCGACATAGTGGAGAGAAGGATACCTCATGAATATACCAACGATATATCACAGTAAGTACGACAATCACAGAGGATCACACTACCATCATTACCGAGAGAAGCTCTCAACAGAGTTTTGTTGAACCCGACGAATGATTTAGTAGACACCCAACTTCGAGATCAGCAAGCTGGATTTCGTAAGGATCAGTTGTGTACCGACAAAATCGAGCCACTTGAGTAATCGAGTAAATAGAACCCGTCACTATACATCGACTACCTTGACTACGAGAGTGTTCGACAATATGGATATAAGAACCTTATGAAGCATTCTCCGACATTATTGTGTACCTCAGATCGTAAACATCGTACGGAATTCATACGACGGACTACACTGAAAATTCATGCAGGGAGGACAGTTAGCAGATGCATTTCAAGGGAGAACGGGAGTCAGACAAGGCTGCCGTCCCTTGCGCTCTCTTTCTTCTGATGGTCGAATGGATGATGAAGACCTCCACATGTCAGGGGAAACGCGATATACGATGGACAGTTCGGATATAGCTAGACAACTTGGACTTCACGTATGACCTAGGTCTTCTATCCCATACACACAAACAAACAGGTAAAGACAGTCAGTGTAGCAGCAGCCTCCGAAACATTTAGCCTTAACATATACAGGAAAAAAACAAAATCCTGAAATACAAGCACGAAGAAGACTAGCCAAATGACACTTCATGGAGAATCTCCGGAATAGGTGAACACCTTTACACACCTGGACAACATTATCGTTGAACGAGGAAGATCAAATTTAGACCATCAAGCTGCATCACGAGACATGACTCAACCTTAAATCCTCAAGGGGAATACAAAGTTTGAGACGAAAGAACTCAGTGCCACATTATTCAAGACAGATATCATCCTAACCACTTCCTAAAGTAGGTCAGAGACTTTTCCTTATTCTCGGGAGTAAAATGCGTGATTATGTAAGGGTTTAAATAATCAAATGCCACTGCTTGTTCGCAATCCTTGTTTTATAACAGAAGGCAAAGAGAACTATTAATCGTTGACTTAAGTAAATTCGCGAAACAAAATGGAACCAAATTGTATGTAACTGACTTTTTAATAAAGTTAAACTGTCATTAACAACCTTTAAATAGACGATCACACATTCGCATTCTTGAGTACGCGAATGTTTCTTTTGCCACTAGCTTCAGAGTAACAAACTAAAAACCTTGTCAAATTTGCGGTAAAACCGAATACTGAAGTTCCCAGAGAGTTAATGAGTACTATGTTGAATACAATTCGAATGATAGATTACTTAAAGTAATATGATGCGGTGGATTAATCAAACATCGACCAAATGATAAGTGCGCTTGTCTGACCAAGAAATGGTTTACAATACCCAGGACACAA